AGTAAAACCCAGAGTAGAAAGTATATCACAATATTAAATAGTGTCTTATGAATTTAGCATAGCTGAAGTTTTGTCTGTTTATCTTTATTAACTGATCAATCACATCTTATTTTGACATGTGTTCATTTTAATAGGATTGACAATAGAAACTGATCAATTACAGTCTTTAAGATTATTGACAGATAATTAAAAACACTCAGAAATTATATAGTTCATATTACAGAATGACCTTATATGGATAACCATTGATAAATAGGAAGGACTAGAAAGTTTATTTCGAGTATGTGACACCTTAGAAGTGCACATTCAAGAATTTACCAAGGATCGACCTCAGCATCTTCATCTCTTATTGGGACTGTCTAACCTTTAGACCACTAAGTTTATATCCAGTGATTTACATTTTATGTGGTGGCCGGTATTCGATATAATCCTTAAACTTCGTATACATTCGTCTTGATAACCGTCCTATATAACGCCCCAACGGTATATTAATCAGGACACGAATACGAAGCGTTGATTACGGGACCACACACAGATATCCAAAATTACAGATGCGTTAAACAAGCATAGAAGAGTTGTGCCGAAAGGCAAGCAGGCAAGCGAGCGAGTGAGTCAGAGAATATGAGTTCGAGTAAGCAAGAGAGAGAGAGCAATGAACATGAATAACATGGACATATATATACGTAGTGAAATGAATGAATCATCGAATCAATTAAGCGGTTAGTAGTAAGGCTAGCAGCGTGAATAAATGCGTGGGCAGTAAGCGATGCTCAAGCATCCATGTTCATACATTCGCAACAGTAATAAAGATACAATGATCTAGATAAGTTGTTGTTGTACGGATGACTCAGTTCGTTAGTAAGTTAACAAAATGACTTAACCGAATTAAATGTGAACAAACTCAGTTACACTTGAGTTGCTATACATTTCCAGCTCCAGTCGATGCTCGATATTCCGTGACCAACGTCTGATTTCTTTTCAACAACTGTTCAGTAATTTCTGGTTTTCATTAGTTGCCTAGCTGAGGTTAGTTCATAAAGTGAATTATTAAGTTTGACAATCTCTATAAAACTCCTTGCAAATTAACTTAAAAAATTTAAAATTACAACGACAATTTCAGGAAATCATTGAAAATCCTTTAATCTTGACTGTAATGACAACATTCGATATGAGTTTATTTTATATTTACATCAAATACTCTTTAAATAATCTACAATACTTAATACCGAGCATAGGTAATAAAGTTTTGAAATGAGCTTCTCAAGTTCTAGAAAAAAGTCATGACCGGTGAAGTTTATACATATCTAGAGTGAAATCTTTGTTACTAGACAAATTGGATGGTGGTCACGCTATTTAATTGTGGAGCTTTCATCGTTCTTCTGAATGATATCATCAGTACAAACTTCAGATCAAAATGAGTGAATGTTTGTTTAACCCAAATGATACGTTGTTCAGTACTGCAATAATTCATATGGACCTGATGAGTGAATACACTTTGTTGACCAATACATATACATACACACAGTGTAATCTGATGTGAATATTATTGCTTCAAAGTGAAATACAAAGAATAATTTTTTATGAAAATTAAGAAAAAATATTAAAGTACATAAAATATTGACTTTAAATTCGTTCATTCAAATGAAATTTTTAATTCATTCACTGACTATAATATGACCATATTATTCAATGTTATAATATCTTTGGACAAGTTTTATTGTGGATCGTTTCTTAGTCTAGATGTTCGAAACCAAATCGGGAGGAAATCCTTAACCTAGGTTTTGTGTTAATTCACATTTGTCAGCTAGACATATCTGTACTCCTTAAGTGACCGACATTCCTCGTGAGGATCGGACCCGTCTCACTATTTACAAATATTGGATTAATTACGATGTGATATGGGCAAAACTAGTAGTGCGACCACTATCATTCCACTAAGCATTAGGCTTAACCTTAGGTTTACTATATCTAAATTACCTTCGTAATAAATATAAATGTTGTTCAATGTTATCCTTATAATAGAGTCGGACATGTACTTATGGGCTATTTCATGATTAAAAAAGCACAGAATGTGGTAAGTGATGTCAGCCGTCGTACAAAGTTCTTCAATGAATATAATCAAACACCTGAATTATTGGAACTATGATGGGACACGCTGTGCAAATCACCACATTTCATCACAAAGCAAGTATAAATAACACTTTGCGACAACTGGAAAGAACAGAGTTGGTTTGAGACTTCATCGGCGGCCCAAGTCCCATGAGGCTTAAGTAAGGACCTCATGCACTAGCTAAATAAAACATCGAGTTAGAGAAAACCAGATAGCCTGTCTCACCCATTTTACGATTTCAGTTAATATAACATCTCGAAATAACCTAGGACGAGTGAAATATGAGACCCTCCTAAATTACTATTTTAGAACTGACCAACTGTCCTAGCTCTCACGACCGATTGAATAATTTCTCGTGTTATGCCATTAAAGTCACCAACAGTTATTTTTTTAACACAAATCCTCCCGATCTTACACGACATCGAACTAACCCATCACTTCAACTAGGACACGTAATGGTTACGAAGAAACAGCTGCTTTTAAAAGGTAAACTTGTTTTCAAGAGATTATAATCATGCAACCTCCTACTAGAAGACAGTGTTAGACAGAACATATCTGAGACAGAATATCATGTTAAGCTTTGTTGTTATTCTCAATAAGAACTCAGATGACTGAGGGGATGTAGGTTTCGGTAAACAACCTTAAACCTAGTTACCCACTTGTTCGAAATATTTTCTTGAAACTCACTTTTCCAGATACTGGCAGATGGTGAGGCTCCTGCAACTGTTCGGCCTATGAAAGTAATGACATACAAAGGGCGCAAGCATTTAATAGTAGGTATCTTTGAAACACCACTCCCATTTTCAGGAACAACTAAGTGAAGAATGCCAAAATTAGACGTAGGTTACTAGACAGACCGACTCGTGATCGCTAATCTCGACCGGCTGAGGTGTGTTACTTATGCCGAACCATTGCTCATCTCAAAGTCCACAGCTTGTTGGCGAAAAGGTGGGTGCGCTAGACAATGGACTAAGTAGACTATCTTGTTTAGGTTTGGCTAATAATTGGAACCAGTGGTCGAATGTGAAGTGTAATATGTCTCAGATACTCACTTATCCCTGTCTAATACCTCATACGTATTTTCTGGAAACATACCCTCCACCGGCTTGTCTTTCTTAATGTCACTGATACTTCTATTTTACCTTTTCCATCACCCAGGACCTTTGAAGTACATCAACTAAACCAAGATCGTATATGTCCCACACTTTTGACTTTTAGTGCTCACAAGCATTTATTTACAGCCCTAGACTCACTAGTTTTTCGCAACTTCATGGTTTATTGCTACAACGCCTCAGTAGTCCCTACGGCAGAATGAAGACCATATCAACCATTCTCAGAGTGAACGCCTTTCTTGGGAGACGACCCAAAAACACTGCATCCAGCAAGCTCTAGAAACTGCCACTTAGTGGGAAGGCGCTTTAAACCCCTATTCACACACTTCAAGGGCGATTATAGAGATTTAGCTTATTCTGATCCACCACTGAGCCGAAATCTGTAGTTGCCAGGTCGACAATAACGACAAGGAGTAGGTGACGCGCACCATGGTTTGATGGAGCATGAGGAACTATCAGCAAGGATGCAAAGTGCTTCTTCCCTTCTCAAACTTAGTGTTATACTGAAAACTAGATTGTGAAAAACTGAGGGACGATCTGTGCTGGTTCTCTATAATAATTCAGTGGAGTTGCAATTTAATTCTCTATGCGTATTACAGAGATGTAATGGGATTCCAGTCCTGATAAGTGAACCAATAATCTGTAAAGAATCAGGAAACTTAAGTGAAAAACACCTGCCGATCTCAGTGATGTACACCGTTACGTAAGTATCCAAATGGGACACAACTGTTGTAATATTACGCTATACTTATACGCCAGTATTATCCTGTGCTACCGCTTCTTCATAATGTACTGGAAAGTATCTGAATCAAGACACATAATGCAATGAACACTAAGATCGATACAAATACTCTACATATTGTTAGTTTACTGAACCTGTTTGTTTACAATTAGCCTTAGGACACGAATATTTTCAGATGAATGTATTCGGTGAACTAGTTATCTATTCAAAGTATTATGGCAATTCTGATCTACGTATCATTGGTGAAACTAAATACACATGTTAGACACGATTTGTAAGCCTAAACTTTAAATAGGAATTCGGCATGTTGATGAGACGCACTTCTTGTTGAACGACCATATTTAAAGAAAAAACTCACTGAAAATTTCTTGCAACAAGAGGACAGAAGGAAGTTAATAAAGTCAGCAGCGAACATTTTTGTTAAAAAAAAACTTATAATATTGTCACACAACCCCTTCAACTGTTACCTTGGACATTGTTTTGCAGCACTTCACACAAAATCAAGAAAAGAGCTGATATTTCGACCGAAAGTACAAAGAAAATGTGTGCGAAGTTGTTTTTTCTTCTTCATAAACTAAGCAAGATACACAAATAACCTTCAGTTTTCTAAATTGATTATTTGGTCAAATTGTTGGGCTGATTCCTAGTTGAGCATTATTTTTCCGTGTTTTCTTTTTCTGAACATCCCTCACATCATACAAACATACACACAATAATCTGTCGACCCTAAAAGAAAAGTGATTCAGTGTCCTAAGAAGAGAGAAGTATGAAGGAATAAAACGACAGACAGGTGGGAAGGGAGGAAGAAATCACAAAACACAACATTGATTGTAAAATCATTTACAGAGTGGTTTAAAAAAAGGGTGAGATATATGTACACTTTCGTTTACTTTTGTTTGGTACCTAAAACAAAAATTTAGTGTTGAATGCGAGAATTGGCCACGCATGTAAATTGTAAATCCATTTTAACTGATCGACAACTGTGTGTAGGGATTTTTTTAAAAAAAAACAATATAGACGTAAGTTATGTCTCTACTTAAGGAGACGATGGGTTCAAAATTGTGCAACTAGTTGGCATACGAACCTCGGTACTACTGCTGACAGGTGAACTATTTTTCTTCGATGGAGATCTTGAATGCTGTTTATAACTATTAATACTAGATGAATAAGGATTTTTCTTTCGTCTATTCAAATGTTGTATAGACGATGATGATGCTAATTTGGTATCATTTAAACTGACCACCTCATTGCAATGACGACTACAAACGGTTGAATTTGACGATGATGAATCTCGATGTTTGTCCGTAATTTTATTTTTTCTTTGCGATGACAAAGCACTTGACTGACAGTCAGTAGAATTCGATGAACCATTAACTTCTAAATTAGACGAAGAGAAATGATGGTTCCCCGTTAAGTAAGCAGAATTTGGGATAGAAGAATGATTTGAAGGATTAAGTGAAGTGACTACATTAAATTCTTCATTGGACAAACTCGATAAGTTATTAAAATCTGAAGAACTAATTTTTTCTTGCACGGGATTTGTGTAACATTGAGTATCATTTTGCTCTACTACTGTATTAGACACAGAAATAGTATTTTGAGTAGTAGTAGTAGTAGCAGTGTAACCAACATTCCCATCGCTTGAGGTTGTTAACTCATGTGAATTTTGAAGAACAGATGGTGATTGATAAGCTACATCACTTTCTGAAGTGTTGACAGAATTCAAAGAACATATTTTTTGGTTGCCAACATTTGACCATTCTTGTGTTTCACAAGAAACATCAGTCTCCAAATTTGAATGAGACGATGAAACGTTAGTTATGCTATTTGAACCAAAATTCATCATTTGAAATTCAGAGGTAATTAAACCAACAGGATTTAGATTTGTAGTTGCTTCTGAAACTGGACACGAATTACATGGTATATTTTGCACCTGACAAACTGTAGAGTGTTATTAGAAGAAAGAAGTGGTTGCTTCTGGTGACCACTAGTCGATGAGATACCTGTTGGATAAGCGGCTGATGTAGATCCATTTGATGATTGATAAAGACAATTAATAGGGGTCTGAGCCAAAATAACCATTTGAGAACTGTTTGCAACCGCCGCTGCAGGAACACTCTAAAAAAGTATTCAAATAAAGACTCAAAATCAAAGTCATGAAAACCACTACAACAGCTATAAATCAAATAAAAGATTATGTTGGCAGTGAACTCCTGTAAAAGATTAGATGATTAGTGAGGTGATAGGAAAGATTGTGTGGACAGAACTACCACACACACACACACACACACACTTTATCTCAAAACCAAGAGTAGAAATAGTTCCTACGATCGCAAGCATTAGTAGCAGTGGTAATAATAACGACTCATGAAAAATACCAATATGTAAGTACAGGGATGTGAAGGAGTTCCATATTAGGATGACGTGGTCGTCTACGTCCTCAGTGAAATCAATATGTGATATGAGACGACACTCCACCGGCCAAAGCAGTGTATGATCTGAATCTATAATACGACGACAATGAATTAAATATTGCAACTATGAGGCTGAAATTTTGGCGCAAATTTTAATTAGTCCTAGCTTGAATAACAGTTAAAAGGAAACAAAATTCATAGTTGTTAAGTTTAATGAATCTGGCAGACCTTGTTAGATGACTCGAAAGAGTGACTGGTCATTGGCTTGTATAAGGCCAAACGCAATGAATACATTATGTTATATTACAAAGTGAAAGTATTATTCTAGTCTTTTCCCGCATGTAGACAGTATTCAATAATAATAAATACAATTTTGTGATATCCCTACGACTTCGGTTATAGTATCCAATAGTGTCTTGCCAGAATACTTCTAGAACGTAACTGAACTTTTAAGCTCTCATTAACATGAAATACCAAACCATAATATTACAGCTATAATAGTCTACTTTAGAAATTCACTGGAACTATACCAGTATTTGGAGTATCAACAGATAAAAAAGTAGGTTAAAAATAAGATCATAAGAAATAATATTTACAGGTGTTGGTTGTGACTGCTGTTGATGATGAACATACGATAATCCTCCCTGATAATTAGAAGTTGTAGGAGTTCCAAATGCAACTGATTGAAAAGCACTATGAGTAGACTGAGAAGAGTTACCATTTGCTGTATAAACAGGGAGATTGTTAGCTGAGAAGTTTCCAGATTGAACATTGACACATGATTTGGAACGACTGAAGGGATAATCAGCATATCCAGCAACAATTGCAGTTGCTTGGTTTGGTTGAGCTCCAGAAGGCATTTGACCCTGGTGTATCCCAACCAAGTTAGCTCTATAAGAACTAGTAGAAATAGCCGACTGATTATTACCCCCATTCGGTCCAATGGAAGGGAAGGAAACTGGGACAGCTGTATTACCACCACATGGACCATTCTGCAATAGTGCTGCAATTGAAAATTAACACAAAAAATTTGAAAAAAGTGAACAGGGCTTATGTTTGAGAATAAAAAGTGAAATGAGTTTCGCTTTAAGGTTGACGTGGCAATAAAAGAACTAAAACAAATTTTTACACGACAGATGGAACTTACTTGATGGCAATAAAATATTACGGTTTTGTGAGGATATTGAGGATGAATGCATATTTGGAACAACAACAGGAGTTTGATGCAAAGGTTGCACTAACTGTGCAGTTAAAGGAAATTGAGGAGTAAAGGTAGATTGTTGAGCTTGACCTAAAGCTTGAAGAGAAGCGAGATTAGAGAGACCTTGAGCTGTACGCGTTAAATGATTAGCAACAGGTATTTGTGGATGTAATCCAGCAGCGGCAACAAACGCTTGTGCATTAGGAGCAGCATTACGTCGTCTAGGATCTGCTTTATCAGCCAGTTTACAAGTTATGGGTTTATCCCCACCTCGAACAATATGTTTTGCTTCATTCATTTGTTCAACTGCTTTTTCCGCTTGTTCGGCTGTGGCAAAACGAACAAAACCAATCCCTGAAAAAAAATTTTAAAAAGGAATGCTCGAACATTTAGTGAACAAACTAGTCAACTTTTGAGTTAAATGCGCTTAAATTGAAAAGATGAAGACACAGCTTTAAGCAATTACTTGTTGATAGAAGACAATGTACATAGATCAATACATTAGATTTATATGATACAATAATCAGTACGTTAATAAATTGCATACAAGATTGATTATGCATTCTTGTCAAAAAGTAGAAAGAAAATACATTGGTAGGAACCCACCAGTCAGCACCTTAACATAAGTAGACGTAGGTAAAATGTACCATTCCTTTTTAATAAACTGGCTAAATTAATGTGTGAGCTTTACACACCGGTAAAACTTAATGATTCAGAATATGAAGTATAAACGATGTCTGAATAGTAATGTAAAAGTGAAGCTTTAAAATTTGAACAATGGATAATTAGTCTTGGAAAAAGACACGTTCAAAACTTAATAAGATAAAACATGAACATGCGACACTAGTATAGATGATTAGTAGTACTATGAAAAGTCAGTATAATTATACGGTTCATCAGTAATACTAAAATATCATAGTATCTCGACTAGAATCTGTCTTAAAAATGACGAAACTGCTTTACAATTGAAGAGCTGGTAAAATATGCAATTAATTCGCTTCTCCAGACAAATTGCGTTTTTAAAAAAGGTGATCTTGGATATTATTGTGATTAGGCTGAATGCATCACAAGTGAACATGAACATATTCGTTTATTCAGCTTTGAAGTATAGTTTTGTGTGTGATGACTGTAAGATACCACACAACTGCTCACATCGAACTAGGTGGGTCGGGGCTTAAAATTACAACTTAGTAGTTAAAAAGTCAAGTATTTTTACCATTCGTAGACCGCTTCACATACTAAACAGAATGGTATTTTTTTCATCTTATTGCAAATCACAAGAACCTTCAACATATAAGTTTGCGGGTGTTTGTTGTAGTTGTGATAATCGTATTTTTATCTAGTTAGATTTAAATAAAAAACTTCAAGGCAAAACTCGACAAAATAGATCATTTTTAAAGCAGAATGAAAACAATCGAAACGTTATATTGTGGTGAACGAACGCTTAGGTGGGGAAGACCAATTTTATTGTTAAATGAACAATTACAGTGGTTTAGCAAAATGTGATACTTATACATTAAATAGATAATTTGCACATCTTTGAATTGTCTTTAAAAAGCCTCATTGTACCTTCGTTCTTCTTGTTATCTTGATTGTTATCAGTTTCTTCCCCTCTTCTCTGCATTTCAATCTTCTCAGCCTTCTGTTCGCAGATATTCCACTTCTAATTGGTGTTAGACACTGCTTATGTTGACAGATATAAGTATGATACATCACACTTGTTCCCCTTTTAAACAATCGCTCGTGCGGTTGTTCTGCTCGCCGTACCATTTTCTTTGCCGCAGTCTGTGCCACGCTCCCTCAAAATTTCGAGTCCGCCAGCGCTCTAACTTCCGTAGCAAGTTCGACCTGCCGTGGCCATCAAAATTCGCCACCGAACGTCCCACTCCTCTATGTCGACAGTGACCGCCACAGCCAACGCCGCCTCGCTAGAGGAACTCACTCGGCGTCACCTTTCTGAACCAGACCGTCCCAACTAGTGCCTCCTCTACTAATCCCACAAGGTCGTCGCAGAGCCTCACCCTCTCCTTCGGCAGCGACACCAAATTTAGTGAGTGAACACTCAATTGGGAAGACGTAACAATGGAGTAAAGATAGTACTTAATTAGTATTGCAAAACAATAACCATAAAGCTATGTACTCATGACGCATAATGCTCGCATAAACTCGGTTAAAAGTTGACAAAAAAGTGCTACATACCTGTAAATCCTGTGACTGTTTCAAGAAGTTTAACAGACGTAACATGACCAAATTTCTGAAACAAACTTTCCAACATCTCTTTTGAAAAACCTTCACGTGGAAGATTGCGTACATAAACATTAAGAGCATCTTTCTCATTTTCATATGCGTACTTTACTGATAATTTGCGTCCGTTAGTTCTGGCGCATTCTAAAATATGTGCTTTCGCTTTTTCTGCATCCTCTTCAGAAGCGCAATCAATAAAACCAGAACCTAAAAAGTTCAATAAGAGAATCTCTTTATCCCATTATAAAAAATTAAGTATGTTTTACCACCACCTAATTCGAGGATAATGTAGAGGGTTGGAAGTTAGTAATTACTAAATCAATATATAGTACTATTCCATGAAGTCCCTGATTTTTGGACTAAGTCATGTAGGTAGATTCAGACTATTTGGATGAGAACAGATCGACTATCGTAACCAATGGTTAGAGACGATAAAAAACTAAAATAAAACTAACATCGACGCATAACCAGATTTATTACCATCAATTCACATTCAGATGCTTAGTGACATGGTTTAAAACCATATCTGACAGTAAGTACTACGACTCATGACCCATTTGAACACATAAATATTGGTACAAAGGGGCACAAAATACATATGCGTCACATCACAATTTACGAAGCATATATGATTATTTAACTTTACTCAAATACTTGTAAATGTCTGGCAATACCAAGGAAATCACTAATCCAATATGTGAAATCTCATAAACCTATTTAAGTAAGTTGTTACTATTCATGAATCATGAACAATGCTTTGTCGTGGTTTAGTTATTCTTATTACACAGAAGCACATTAACTCCAGTGATCAGGAATAAAGTGATCCACAAAAAGTCATATTGCTAGGATTTTATCGTTGACTAATCGAATATAGAGGAATTTGAAGACCACTACGATTTTTCACCAACACCTTATCTCCATCATACACTACAGAGAATTGTTTTGAGTGTCCACAATTCACATGAATACAACCCATCATGCACTGAAGTAAGAAAAGACCGAAACGCTAAGAAAATACCTATAGTAATATTTACGATTACTGTTACATCAAAATTTCTTTACAAATCATCAATATATGACATTTTAGTTAATACTACTAACCTCTGCATCTTCCATTGACAACCATTGCTTTGCAAGACTTTGGCTGAACAATATTTTCAACAAGTGAACGAACTGTATCATCTGTATCAGATTCACTTAGTCCGCTTATATATAAATTGGTCTTGGAAGTGACAGTTGATTTATTCCGACGACCATGCTATAGGAAAACCAAAAAAGTATAGACAAATTTTCAATACAAGTCATTCAACAGTTGATTATACTAATACAGAACCGAGATTTTAAAATATACCTTTAGCTAATAAGTTAGAAGTTTAATGCGATTTAGAACACACGTCTATGAAATAAACTGACTTTTTTCAAAGCTTCATTACAGCATCATGAATTAGATATACTGGGATACGATATAACCAAATTAGATATTAATTTCAGTAGGGTAGAAAGGCTAAAAATAATCTTTTCGTGATCCAAATATCAGGTAAATTATTTATCAATATGTCCTTTCGATGACTAATTAGCACGACTCAACAGGTACATATTTATGTACCCCGTTTTAAGTCATACACTTTGTATGGATGTTAGTTGCGCGATTCCGTTTTCCACATAAACGTAAGTGGGGCTCCGACTTGTGACCTAATAGTTGGATATCAATTAATTCAACTACTACGCCACCGACCCAACACGTCCTGATACCATTAGTTGTGTTATGAACTAGACCCGACAGGTATTCTTCAAACTACGTAACAAATTACTAAAATTCTAACCAGTGGAGTGCTACTAACTGACTGTTAATTGGAAACCTTAAACCATATGAGGTTACTTTAAATTTAGCGATAAATGATCATTTTATGGCAAATTTCTACAAATTTCTAATGATGCACTGAAGGGTATTGTTAACTGTCTCCAAAAACGAGTTTCTCATTTATTTATCAGATAGTCAACATGTGGTCTTCTATTCACCCGTCGAGGTTTCTGAAAACATTAATTACATTCTTCCCAACAATCTTTTCTGTTTAATTACCCTTCTCAGGCATTTTTAGCGAAAACATGAGTTTATCATCAACGCTATCTTATCAGTACAGATCACGATCATTGAGCCGGAATGAGATATTCCAAAGAGAAATATTTCAGAAGCCAATTAAGTTAAACACACACACCGACATAATCTTAAACATACAGTTGACCAAAAAAATAGTATATCTGTAATATCCCAATGAGTAGAAAATCTAATTTTTCTACTCATTGGGATATTACAGATATACTATTTATTTATAACAATCTACCCAATGCCCAATTTATTCGAAATTATCAAATCAAACCTTGGTAATGATACCTATATACAGTTGACCTGTTTGTACATCCTTGTAATAAACATTTAACACAAATTTGCTCAACAGGTTGACATAACTTGCAAAATTGATGTGAAACGTTGAGATGAGTCACATTACAAATTACTAGGTATGGGAAGCGAAACATAGTCATGGGAATTTTACATCAGATGAATAGATATATCAATTTAGAACAATGTACACAAAAGTGTACAAGTTTAAGCCATCTTAGGTAAAATTGAAGATTTTGCATTTTCCGAAATTATTTTCGATGGGATTAGTATGGAACAATGTAACTACGAGAGAAAAGTAATTAATCATAGCCCAAAAATAAGAAACTCACCTGTGTTTGAGGGACAGAACCAAAATGTTTTAAAGAATCAAATGTACGACAATGCGCTGTCATATTAACTGCCATCGGTGCCTGTGATGGTACATTTGCATAAGTTTGATGTATGTGACCAAGGTTGCCATTACCCATAGCTGTTACTAGAGAAGGTGCTAAGTAAGACAACGACTGACCATATGGAACAGGTGGATGAGGCAGGGGTAAGGGCTGGGAAGCCGATTGTTGGAACTGTTGTAGGTGGTAAGAGGGATTTAATGAAGCACTGGGAAATTGACGCCCAGTAATAGCAGGTTCAAGTGACTGGTTGGCACCAACAGAGAATGAATGAGGGAAAGGGTAAGCCAAACTCTGATGAGGACTGAATCCACCAGGTGCTGAAGGGATTGAGGAACCAGGCAAAACATTGGAAGAGAGAGTCGGTCGTACATAACCAGGGGTAAGTGCACCAATAAGCATACTGCTAGAATCCATCGGACCAGAAATGTGACGGTCAATGGATATTGCTGAGCCATTAGCAATAGTCGGGTGACCTGACATCGCTGCAATGATAGGCCAATGTGGTTGCATATCTATGCAAAGATTTACATACCAACATTTAAAAAAAGGAATTTTACTTTATTGATCCAATAAATTGTTTAAGAAATTAATTTTCTATGCCAAAAAGGATACTGTAAAGAATTTGACTTGATTCAGTATTGACAACACAAAATTCACGATAAACAGACGGTAACATTGAACTATGAATATGGAAGATTTATGTACATTACTTTAGATTGAAATAAAATACCATTTTTATGAAGATTAAAGCAATGAGCGAGAATGGGGTCGAAGTGAGTTTCCTTAGTATCACTATACTACCAACACTCGGCATAGCCCAGCTAAGAAAAGATGGCCACAAGTGTTGTCTGACCTTGAATTTTACCGGGAAGTATGATGAATGAGACATTAATACTTATCCAGATAGCGATATTAGACTATCCATTAAAGTAACACTAACACTGACAGTACATTCGCCTAATTATCTAAAATAGGATGGTAGCTACGTAAAATATTAAACTTAATTTGATCTGGTCTCTAACTTGAGGGAATTTGTACTAATCACTGTAAAAACGCTGCTACTTTAGTGGATGGGATCAGATTAACAAATTCAACGTTTAATAGTATTTTTGGGTGCTGACAACACATTACATAAACTTGTTATTCCACATATTGACGAAATAAGTTACTTTGAGGTACCTTTAATACATAGAACGTGAACCAAAATTTATGAAAAACACTTACCGTAAAAATTTTTTTAATATTCGAAGAGATAACGAACTATTGCTATTTAATATAACGTCAACGTTTAGCCCGTCGGAGTTTGAATGAAAATCATATTAGCCGCATTTGCATGTTGAAAATCAGAATTTAAAGAATGCGTACAACAACGGAACCAGTCTTAGCTAAAATGTTAAGATACAATCCAAAAGTCAAACGATGGTAAAGTAGACTAACGTAACGAAAATAGGATGAGTCGATTTAATAGTGTAACGATTATTGGAATTAAAAAGCAACCGAAACACCTAAGTCACTAAAATACTTTATTTATTTATTGAAACACACGAACATTGGTACAAGGAGGCATCAAACAGATATGCGATTTATGTGAGGGTTGAGATACTGATCGGGTGCCCAAACCGAAGCATGTGGTTTTCTTGGGGGGCACATCCCGAACCTTTGACAAGCTAGATTTTAGTATACAAATCCATAGTGCATTCACCTAAGCTCAACTGTTTCGTACAGTTTTCATTCGCTGGTACTCAAGCATAGTATTTATCATACACATCCTAACTATAAAGTTATGCAACATAATTTTTTGTAGTTCACAAAGTTTAGACAACTTTTCTAATACAAAAAGTGCCGCCTTACAACGAAATTCTAAATATTCAAAGGGAGAGGTAACTTTAAAGAAGATCGTAGCGAGTAATGGAGAAATCAACTCTTTGTTTTGTTTCTGATAACTGATTGCCAAGACAGACTATGTATCTGCTCTTTACTATATCATAAAAACACGCAGTCAAAACAGGATGACTTTTTCCTTTCTGTGGAGGCACTTTTAATGCGGACCCAAAGGGCCACAAATGTTACACTACTCATTAGTATAACTGGTTTACAAGATAGATACTAGGCCTAAAGCCAGTGACGAGATAGCGATAGTCGGTTGCCCAAGAAGAAGTAGGTAGAGCATCGTCTGGACAGTGTACAAGACTGATCTCCCCAAAGACAGAATACACTGCTGGGTCATAATTTAGATTTAACCTATGATCTCGTCAAAACCAAAGACTACGTGATCTGTTAAAATCCTCATGATTCATAAATATGAAAGCCACTAAACAAGCACCTAACACAATCAAATCTTACATAAAACATTCAGAAGATTTAGGGTTGAATATTTTTCTTTTAAGATCATTCCCAAACCTGTGGTGAATTGAGAAGTGACTGAGTCTCGACTGAAGGCGAAAACTTCAGTAGTTTGCCCTTCACTAACCGTTCATTTTAAACGTTATATCTTGGATACCAGTTGTAATGTAACGAAGTAGAAACTCATTAACAACTAGTGAAAATATTTATAGGGGTTTTCGAAACATTGCTACTAGTAACCTTCAAGTGATATAGTAATAAGCATGATCGGAATGTTAACTGATGAATCCACAAACCTTCGTCGACTCAGTGTGGCCAAGACATGCTCTACATCTGCTGAGTCACTATCTCCATCCGCAATGATACTAAGAGCAGTTTGCGCGAAAGCTAAACGCGGCCAAACGAAGACACGATGGCAGTGCATACAGTTGGTAACTTGGATAACCACGTCGGGAAGTGAAAATTTACCGACAGAAGTCGGCACGATCACTAGTCCATATTCAGGGACGTTGAATGATATGGATCAAAACTAGCCGCACTGGCACTATCAAATATAACCTCTTTTAAATCCGTAAGCACTGTTACGCGATTTCTATTCCCCAACTTGTTCTGGTTAGTTCTTAACATTTTAACTGTTTAACCTAGCCTTAATCTTCATTTTGGCAGTCTAACCCGCTGTTGTCATGAGGTATCTATGGTTGGTCATTTGTAAATCATGCCTAACAACGCCTCATTTATGATATTGTGGGATGAAGTAGCTAGTCTGTGGACATTTGCCGGGGCGTTTTGTATTGGTGTCCTAAATCTCTAATAAGTTTTAGTAACTCACAACTACAGTATGCCTGTGAAACATATGGGATACATATTTATAATCATACATTAGCAGGCGGACAAGGAAAGTTGAACACACGTCGTAATAAGTGACTATGAGCCGTAAGCGAGAAAATTCTGGCGGACTCAAATAAAGCCTGGATAATGAAAAGAATGACCGCTTGATACTTCTTAGAAATGTACAACGTCCTTAACCATCAAGTTACTATTTTTATCGTGTTCTCGACTTTACAAAACCTTACTTATTTGATAGTAGGTGGATAGCGAATGCAAACGATGAAAGTAATTCGAAGACTTAGACTGGACCAATTAACTGCTACGATTTTCATATTTACTTATTTACAGTCAGAGTTTCTGGTATTGGAAACCCACGGATCTCATAACTGTAGATAATACTTCAGTCGAAACCCACTGACTATTGTGCCTAATATCAATTAAAGAAATCAGAAGTCATCAAAAACAATACTGAAGTCCAACGAAACCAGAAAGAAGTCAACAAATACATTAACCTAATCTCTAAGTTATCATTTAAAACAGAGTTGTGATTATCCCAGCTATTCGAAGTAGTCAGGCAGTTAAACATATGGTGTCGAAAAATCTAGTACTTTAATGCACGAATACACATACCGATTCCCAAAATCTGTCTTCATTATGACAAACACTAGATAACAATTTCAAAGGACAAACATGGCGGAGGCGAATGTACATATGGCGGTCCCGAAGGAGCCTTGACCTTCGATTTTGTAGCACAAAAACAAAAAAATGGCAATGCATAACTTAGACAAAAATTGTTATTACAAGGTTCTCAAACTTATGTTTTGCAAATTTGAAGAAATTTATCGATCCATGAGTCAAATAAAGTTATGTCGCCTCAATTTAAACGACCGCAGTAGACTTACGAATTTCGGATGTGTTACATCAGGTTACCAGGACTAAGGGATATGACAGTTTATCACAGTTAGTGACGCCTTTGGCAAAGTTAATAAGGAGGGGTCCCGCGTTTGCTTGCCTGATAGGTTATTTTCCATCTTTAACTTCGAATCCCACCAGTGTAGATCGCTAGCGTAGATGGTCTGTGTCAAATGATTAGGGATCCACTAAAGTTAAAAGGGTGTGGTGAGGACAACTAACCGACGTCAAAATCACACCTCGTGGCTAGTGCCTAACATGGATTACCCTCTCGTCGTGTTCGGGTACTATGCCTACTTTGATGACCCTACAACACAAACGACGTTATCCAAGAAATGTATTAGAGTTGGTACAGAGAACAGAGTGTGGCCACCACCGTATGGGCCAGTCCACGGCGTGCAATTAATTTGGTCACATTTGCTGTCCTCAACCATGAAGAGGATCGGCAAACCGTCCAACATTCAGTGACCTGACTGCCAGATACTTAACTAGAGCTCAGTAACGTTCCATTGCTCCTATTCCCCAATAAAACTTAGCGTCGATGGAGTAAAAATATGGCTGAAGATAACATGTAGCGGAACCCTTTAATAACTGAGGACGGAATACAAGAAAATAATTTGTTACATAAGTTTATGTCGGTTGTGAGGACTTTGTGTTCCCTCTTGAAAGATGCAAAGATTCATCTAACTATTTCTGTATTCAGAGAGTAACCTGGTTTCTAATTTGTAGTTACCCCTCTTAATAATACTGACAAAACTAGAATTAATTTTTCTATTAAACTGTCATGTGTTCTAACAATGCTATAACGTATTTTCCTGAGTTCCTGTATTCTATAGTTGAAGGTCGAGTCAATTCAAACCTTTCGGACATGAAATCGCAAGCTCATTTAGAGCACTTGTAACACGTCCATTCTAACTTGTCTTTACCACTGTAGAGTAATTATGGCAAAACCTTGTCCTTATATTCTAAAGTCCAATCACGTTATAAAATACAACAGAGATTCCTTCCCAATAACTATCACCAGATTGGTTCGGTGTGTATTATTGTTGCTATCGAACAAAGTTTTTAATACAGAGGAACCATTCAACAAACTGTTTGCGTTTCCGTTTTGCATTCCAATTATATACTTCTACTTTCCGCTTGTTGTGACATAATCCCTTTAGTGCATTTACTGTAGATCACCCGGTTCCGTTCGACAATCAATATTCCACACATACAAACTTTGTCTCCAAGCCTATCGATTCTCGAATTTTTACAATAATTGGTAGTGTAGTGAACAGAACATGGGTGGGGAAAACCGAATGTATTCGACACGAACTTACTGAGCATCTAAATAAAATCTGAGAACCACAAAGTAAAAATTAATTTGCAAAATATCAACCCATCATATCAAACTTGACTGTTCCTGTTGCAAACATCAGTCCATTATGTCAGATCTCATTGTTCATGCTTTTTCATACTAATTGCATTTCGTTCCCGTTCTTTCCTCATCGACCTTCTACTGAAATACATCCTTTGTCTGACCCCGTTATATACCATTTCTGTGGATATAAGTATCCCACACCACAGTAGTTCTAAATTTAATGCCATTTACTGGCTACGAATAAACATGCGGGATTTAGACACGACCGTTGTCTCTACCTTGAAGTAATAGTCGGGATTGCCTATCGTGGTGGACCAATCGAGCCACAGTGGCTGAAACAATCGTTCTTCAAGGGCCTACCGCACTAGAAAGGTCGGTTGAAGAGCGGCAAGACTAAGACCAGCAAACCCAAAGTCCGACTGCGAAATCGAAATATTGACATTACAGAGGTGTGACGGCAGTAAGGTTTTCCCCTCAGACAACCAGCAGAATAGTGATACTGCCTCTACACAAGGAACGGTGGAGTTAGAAATTTTCGACCCTAAAAGCCACACCCCGTCTTATCCCACGGATATCCGTCTCCGGCGGTAAGATCTCAACAAGTACGAAGCTAACATGAAAATTACCTACAAAAATGTCGTGTGTAACCGGCCTCAATTAGTTGTCCCTTGGGCACTGAGGTCACACGCCCAGATCAGTAAAACTAACACCAACCCAATTTCATTTTTAGGTACCTCTAGAATAACCCTTCCATGGTGATGGCAAACGGGAAATGATAACCGCCCTCATATATCTAACAGCACTCAAGATTGACTGTAGTATTTAGGCCTACACCGGTATTAACGCACTTATCTATACTACTAGAACAATAAGTTGAGTCAAATATAGTGTACTTGACATGGTGTGACTACCTGAACTACAAGATCTCATACAAAAGTCACATTACTGTCTATACTGACCCAACATACGTGATGTCTTCCTGAAGAACATTCGGGCTGGGGATGGAATAATTTACCTCATATAAAGAACAAGAAGAAACATAGAGTGACAACGATTGCAAGACCAAGACATGCAGCCACGACGAGTGTTCCGTCTCCAAATTTTCTTGAAATGGTTAGCGTTTAACACGAGCCCCTTTGGTCAGTATATGTTCGGATTGAAGGATCGTGTGTTTAAGGACCAATGCGACTCCTGACTAACAACAGAACACATGCATGGGCACAATGCGTATAAAACATGCTACAATTTCAAAGGAAATTGAAGACATCATGGATACTCGATGTATGACAACTCTAGTGTCCAAAACCGTAATGGTCTCAAAGGCAAGTAAACCACAAGTCAAGGATGTGATTATATGTTTGAACATGGAGCACGAAACATGTGATGGATCGGACGTATCAATACCAAAAACAGCGATAAAGTTTCTGCAAAAAGTATGGAGGTTATTGAACTATTGTCTACTTTGGTATTAGTACATTTATCTTTGCTACTAAAATAATAGACCTAATCTCAAAATTGTAGATTTGTCATGATATGAAAACCTAATTTGTGAGATCTTAGGTGGAAGTCATATCATTGCCTACGCTGACTCGTCGTATCATGATAGTCTGCAATATGATGTTTAGCACTCAGAGTAGAGAGGATATTTAATACAAGATGCAACTAGTTTTACAGAGTGGCCACGCCTGCATGGCTGAGCACCCTATGTCAGTTCGACTCCATTCCTCCCGTGTTCACCATTCTTGACCTGTTAGTCGCTTAACTGATCCGATTATTCCTTATGTATATATATGTACATTTTAATCATGTTAATTGACTTGCCAACTCTCTCATTCATCTCGAGCGCTCACTTGCTTGCCCGCTTGCTTCTTGGCACTACCGTTTCATGCTTGCTTAGCGTACATGTAGTTATGGTTATCTGTGCATGGTGCACTAATAAACATAATCAACACTTCGTATTCGCCTTCTGATTAATACATTGTTGGGGCGTCATTCAGTGACGGTTATCAAGACGAACTGTATATGAATTTTAAGGATTATATTGAATATCGACCACCACAAGTGGATAATGGCAAAAATTATTTACAAAATAAGTCTATGAGGATCATCTCTACAAACTTAAGTCGACTAGTTGTCATAGATGATACTCAGAACAATCTATCCAGTCTACACAGATTCGGTGCTGACTGCTGACCAAGAACCTTGAGCTAGAGATGTGTTCCGTGTCGGAGAATATGGCATTTAACCTACATGTGTTAACTGTATGTCCATCTTGGAATATCTGACTGAGTATGTGACTGCTAAATGAATTACTTCAATTTTACTGGTCAACTTGTACTCAGTTGTGTGGTTAAGTCGCATGCCTTACATGTGAATCCTCCCAATATTCCTTTGTTTTTTGTCTCTCTACCTATCTATTTGGACACTATATTTTACTACTTTACTAATGCATAAATACTTCAGACATGCTAACTGATTGATACTCTGGACAGTTTGTAATCGTTTCAATACAATTAAGATTAATGCACAGAATTCCAGTTCTGAGTTTATTTCACTCTAATACACTTGTTGAATATTCTACTACCAGTGTTATGTCTACTCTAATACGATTGCTGTTGATTCTAAGTTCCAGTGTTAATAAAAATCCAATTCATTTACAAAGAAATTTGATCTTGACCTTAATCTAGTACTGTCATTATCCTAGTCCACTTGTATCCATTTATCTAATCATACTTTGACTGTTTATAACTACTGTATATGCTAGTGAATTCAATCACTGAATTATAAAATCAATAACATTTGCATTCTAGTTCTTACTTGATTCATTTCTCCTTGACTATCGAGTAGAAAGATAAAGAATATATCAAAGACTGACAAAATTAATAATTTTGGGGATTTATTTACCATTACGCAATTATCATTCGATAAAACTACGGAATTCTTCACTGTTTAAACGGAAATCTGGTCTTTTGAACTTAATAATATATCTCCAACTAATGTTCATCGGATATATACCAGAATTTGTATTGGAATCCATGTTAATGGTGTCTAGGATAAACTCAATAATTTTAAGACTAATAGTGGGAGCCGGAAAGTATGCATTCGTAACCTCGAAATATGGCCTGCTTTCTTTGACTCCACGGCAACCATCTCACTACAATGAAATAAAGTCCCCTGATTTGATTTCTTGGGTGGATTTTCCCACTTTTTATTCTGAAAGTCAAGTGTTAAATATTTTGATGACACATATATTTTGAGGCATGTGCAATAAAGTGAATTTTAGTTGTAATGTTAATGAAGGTTTATCTTTTCCCCTTTTCGATGTCAAATACTTGAACTAATCAATCTTTATTGGTAAATTTACATTCTGAATGGATTGTCTCAATATTTCTATTTAGTCACAAGGTTTTGTTGAAGCTATACAATATTAAACAGTGAAATCAAAAACATATTTTCTCTCTTGTTTAGAACTCATCAGTTAGATGTACCTGTAGGCAAATGTTGCTGTTCACAATGAAACTCGAACCCGTTGAATAAGTTATGATGTATCTTAACCCCATACCCCAGGAGATGACTCATTCAAATTCAAAGAAAAAATAGCACTTCGTTACAATCTTAATGTACGTAACAACACTGGGATGTGGCAGTGTGATAATTAGAAGTATTTGAATCATAGTACAAACTAAGAATTTCAGAAATAACGCAATTGGATCAATAAGTACTATATAGACACGAACTAATCTATTGTATTTGAAATTCGAAATCAAGCATTCAACATGTACAAAGGAGTCGTTTGTTCATACAAACATCACAGGCAAATAGATCTATCTAGCGGGTTCTAAATAGAATACAATGTTATCTCCATATTCCACCCCTAACCATATATTATTATTACTATTATTATTACTTTAACACATAGATATTGGTACAGGAGGCACCAAATACATATGTACCACACAAATCTCATTCGACATGTGTGGGAGCTGTGATACTGCCCGGGTGCCCAAACCGGAGCAGGTGGTTTTCTTAGAGGGCCACTACCCGAGCCTTCGACCTGAAGGTCTGACCTACAAGGCAGTAGAGCATCGTGAGGAGATGCAGTCCAATGGTAGCCAGTGACCAACAATTGGTTTATACGCCATTTGTTCCCGAAGGATACTGAAGCCCATGTGCACTACTGATTTGGAATCCCGTTAAAGCGCCGGACATTCGCTTTTCGTCCTCTCATTTTCGTAAACAACACCCGCGACACGAGAAGGCAGTGAGTAGGACTTCCCTGGCAGAGGCTATATACGCGTGGCCATGTGAGAAACCATATACCAAATATATTACTTATTATTAATCAATCTTCTTTCAATATATATACAATAAACAGAAGTTTTTTTTCCTTCAAGAAAATCAGAAATTTGTTCGTTTCATTACGGAAGAATAAATTTTCGAAATTAAAAAAAAGCGAAGAGTTTAATTATGTTGTTCTTTTTTTTCTTCTGGTTACGTCATCACTGGTTTTACACAAATATGTATTATCATGTCATAATATTTTTGAGTTCATTGAAGAGAATAATAAATTTGATTTCTAGAACCAAATAAGTCAACCTTAATGAATGTTTTTTTGTTGTTGAAGAAAACAACATATATATGTATAGAATAACTTAGTATAGTCAATCACGTGTACTGAAAAGAAGGGGGTTCCATTTACGAATGAATAGTAGAGATAGTAAAAAAAAAGTGATAGGGAGAAAGCAAAGTATCGTACATCCATTTTCATGTACCATTTTAATGTACACATGTCATGCAATCACACGTGTTTGTCTATTTCTTTTCATGACATACTAACATTAATAATGATAGTTATAATAATATCTTATGATTACGTAATACTTATTAATTGCATGTCTAAAGTGATTACTTTTCTCTTTTGACTTGATCCGATCATTTTTGGATGTTGCCAGTAAAAAAAACAAAACATCTTTTTAATCGTAAAGTAAAAATAATGTGAATAATCTAGTCAAGTATTTATAATTGAATTGTGAATTATAAAATAGAACTGATTGAGATAAAATTAATAAAGAAATGGATTAGTTGAAGTGACGTTTTTTCGATTCCTATCAAGTAGACTTTACTGGACAATATTAATAAGAATTATTAATGTACACGTGGTATTAGTATGGCGAATCGATCTTAGCTAGAGTATCATTGAAAATCAAAAACCACTGGACATTTGTTTCGTCCTAGTATAGGATTTCTCAACAGTGCGCATCCACCATAGGAGATCGAAACTAAAGCCATCGATCTTGAGGTGAATGCTTAACTTCTAAACCACTAAGCAGGCATCCGACAATGTATATATCAAATTTCATGTGTTAACTAATGTATAGCTTCAAGATGTTATTCCTTGAGTTCTTCTGAGAAGCTATGATCATTTCAGTTCAACTATTTCGGTGTTGAATACTTATCCATCTCAAGCAATGGGAAACAGTTGTGCTATATCGTGAATTGATTGAAGTGAAACACGTAACAATCAGATATGGGTCCAGTGATCTAGAGGTTAAGTGTTCACTGCAACGTTCGATTCCCTACAGTTTAATCGTAGATGTAGGCTGATGAGAAGTTCCATGTTGGGATGAAATAACTCCTCAGTGCTCCCTGATTTAAATTATGAAGATCACATATAGACTGGCTTTTCTATTTCTAGAAGAAATCGATATAAACATATGATTATTGACTTTTAATAATTACTACTGTGAAGAGAGAAAGAGAGAGAGAGACAGATTCAGTTGATGATGAACATCAACTCTACGAAATATCTCTCTTAATATTCAATTCTTCAACATGAAGTTAAAATTTGTTTTATTGAATAGTCACAGAAAATAAACTATATGTTACATCACTAAATCTAAATATTTAGTGTGTACTTAATAAGAGATGGGTAACATTATAAATACTATACAAAGATTTATAAGATACAGGAAAGCATTCCGTAGCCAAATTATTACATACTTTATCATAGTAAGTTGTTTGAAGTAAATATTTTAATTGTGAAACTTATCCAATCTCTCTAGATAACACTATCAATACCAATTTTATTTTGGAATCTGAATGATACAGGTACTGATTATGTTGTTTAGATCAATAATTGAACAATCCCTAAATCCTAAAGCTGGGTAGCAACACTATATAAGATAATATCAATAGACGACAACAACAAAATAATAATAATTCATCATGTTTATTTATTGATAATCATAATAAAATAAAGTTTTATTTTCAAATATTCACTTAATCGATAAAACGAAAAAAAACTTTAACATTGAACAGTTACATTTAATAGATTGTTGTTTTAATATTTACAAAGATCATTCATTATTTTTTTTGTACAACCATCATCATCATCATCATCACAAAAAACCAAAATCGAATTTCGTTAAAAAAAATAATAATTTCCAAGCTATGATAATTCACAATTAAAAAATTTACCCGATCAACAATGGACAACTTAGTAGTTAGTAACAGTTGGATGACCATAGTTATCGGTATCGGTGGAAAATTTAAATAGTACCGTTTATATTTCACGTAGATTCTTGTTCAATTATTGAATTATGATTGATTGATTGATTTGTATGTGGAGATTTATTTAATAAATCAATTAGGGATATGATGTAATCACGCGCACGCTAAAAAGAGATTAAAGGATTAAGATCATTTATTTTTTTTGGGGGGGTGGTTGTAGCGATTTTTTCCGATATGTAAGTTCAGATGGTAGTAGAAACCGATATTGGTGAGGAGTCTTATGCTAAGACGAAAACACTGTTCAGTACCTGTTTGCTATCAGTGGCACCCAAAGTGAGATCAGTTCGTGCAAAATAAACCGTATAAATGGAATTTTTATTTTTGATAGAGTATAATCGGTTTACTTTATTAAAATGTAATAATTTGGCAATGAACAGGCATTACTAAACTGAATTTAGACTGTACCTTAAATCACATTTTAAGATAATTTTCTGGTTTGCTATTAGAAGCTGTGAAAATTTCATTTGGACATTCATATGCTCGTTTATCCATAAACAATGTAGTACACAATTCATTGATTTCTGGGTCTAGTTCTATAATCCTGGTCAAATTTTATGGATCAAGTTGCAATAAGCCCACTAGCCTAAGTCACTTAAGATTGCACCTCTGGCTCGGTTCCACAGTGAGCATTATTCCCCTTTTAACCATATTTTCACCTTGCTGACAAGTGATAATTAGCGTTTGTTACATCGCCTAAATAATGTAGGTTTAATCCCTCTCAGGGTTATGGGTGCATATTGCGGAAGAGTCTTACATAAGAACAAAAAACTTGTCCGGTAATCCCTGATTTTCAGTGGTTGTTCAGCTAAAATCAGCCTATAGCGTATAATATTTTCAAAGTGAATAATCTTCAAAAGCATTTTCCTTTTAAAATATGAACTGTTAATTAAAAATACTGATTCGTTAATCATTTACTCAAGAATTTTCAGCCTAAAACAAAATGACACAGGTATATTCAATCTTTCAATAAATAATGTTTATCTGGTTTTATCTCATCATCAAAACTATTTTGACTTTCTCCTACCGCCACCACCTAGAAATTTTCAATTATTTGACATCAAATGCCCTGGCACGACAGAGGGTGGGAAAAGTCAGTTCTCCCTTTCGAAATGCTCTCACATGGCCATGCGTATACAGCCAATGTCAACGAAGTACGACTCACCGCCTTCTCGTGGCAGGGGTGTTGTTTACGAAATTGAGAGGACGGAAAGCGAATGTCCAGAGATTTAACCGTGTTGGTGGATGTGGAGAATCCACTTTAGGGAGTTGGCAAACCCAGATTCCAAACCAATGATGTACATGGGCTCCAGGATCCTAAGGAAACAAATGGTTTATGAACTAATTGTTTGTCACCGGCTACCATGAGACTGCGTATCCTGACGTTGCTCCACTGCCTTATGGATCACACTTTTAGGTCGAAGGCTCCGGGTGTGGCCCTCTAAGGAAACCACCTGCTTCGATCTGGGCACCCAGGCAGTACCACAGCCCACACAAAAATCAAGTTACTTGTGTGGCGCATATGTATTCGATGCCCCTTTGTGCCAATATTTATGTGTTCAAATAAATAAATAGACATGGTTAGCCTAATATTATATGCGAAATGTACTATTTATTATTTCGATGGGACTTTCAAAGAACTACCAACATTGAGAATTGTTTCTTAAGATAACGTATCAGTGAAAATAGCCTTAATTTTAATTAAAGTAAGCATTTCAGTCAGTACTGTGAGAACTGTATTGATGGAACAGAGCTAGGAATACCATCTACATTGAGTGTGTGAAATTTATTGTAATTTCTGATTGTCAGATTCCGATTCAAATGATTTCTGACGTACTGTAATACAGTGAACTGTCTATTAACACGGTTCTAGCTATCATAATGCAGGAGGAACGTATGGCTTTTAAGCACTTTCAGGAATGTTCTTAACAATCCAACAAGCTAGTGGCTATTGGGACTCAGTAGATAGGTGGGTAACGCTGTGGCGTTACTGGGTTCAAGTCTCTGAATGAACATCAACTCTGGGATGCAAGTACATTCATCTGACGAGTACTGAAATCAGACGAAACGAGCTTTCTAGATTTAACTGCTAGCCACCATTCATTTTCGCTTGAGCATTTATAATAAAATAGATTAGTAAGTATTTCAGTGATTAAAATACTTTTTGCAAAAATAAATAAATTTTCAACTTACCCTTAATGTTTCAATTTTACTGAGTTTTATTGATTCACAAGAAGAATGCGGTAAAACAATTCTAAGTTGTTCTAATGCATTATTCAATGCATGCATTCTAGCACGCTCTCGTCGATTGGCTTTTAATCTTCTTAGTTTGCTTACTGAATATTGACAATTCAATTGAATATTATATTCTTCAATTGATTTGTAAAACATATTTAAATTCCTCCACAAAACAAATCTATGGTGAATGAAGATTTTTGGGCTGGGGGTTAGAGGAAACAGTGAACGTGTTCAATCAAAGGTGATTAATATCTATTAAAAATTTGTTATTAAAATGAAAGGGTTGTGAAGATTGTCCAGTTTAAAGATTGCTTACTTTATTGATTGGTTTTTAACTAGGCAATTATTTAGACCCAGTGATCGCTTATTGTGAATACGAACTGTGGAAGAGTTAACTATAGGACTGAAATAGTTGTCTATTACCCCTTCCCCATAGTTTTATACAACGATTTCTTTAGCAATTTCTCAAAAAATTTGACTTCACATGCAAAATAATTCTCTACACAATTTTCTATTGATAATAATCATGTGCTCACTAGTGACTAGATTCAAGATGAATTTCTTGGAGTTCTAGTGAGAAGCTGTGACCAACGGAGTCTAATCCGTGTCAAGTGTGAGACAGTTATCCACCTCAGACGATGGATGAAGTGTTGCGCACGACCATTAATCGATTGGAATTAGACATTAACATCGTTGGATACCGGCTCAGTGGTCTATAGGTTAAGCATTCGCGCGAAACCGAAGGTCTTGAGTTCGAGTCCCGTGTACGAGGTTGTGGATATACGATACTGAGGTGTCCCACACTAGGATGAAACATCCATTCAGTGCCTCTGGGTTTTCAATGGTGGTCTAGCTAAGGTTGATTCGTGAATCCAACTTTGAGAATACTACAATCCCCACAAATTCCCGTACTGATCATTTTCTACGTAGTTAAAAAGAGTGTACAAATGAATCTGTGTAAATATTTACAAAACATCACTATCTCATTTGATTTGCTGTGACGATGTAAGAATATAACGAGAAATTTTACAGTCTAGATCAGTAAAATTTGTTACCGCTAAATACTGTTGATTGAAGCTATCAAAATACCTGAAGTGAATTAAAAATGCTTCAGTGTAATGCTTGGATACTAAACTGACTGGGAATTGAGGTTCAATTAGTTAATTAAGTCTCCATTTTACTTTAATTTGAAATACTTTTTGGTTCCGTTCGACAAATACACTGATATAGAAAGAGTTGTCTGAATGTGGAACATGTTTATTTGCTTACTTGTCATTCACATAGAAGATTATAACCTTCAGATTGACTATTTCCTCTTAGGAATCAGGATTCAAAATAAAATATCTATCATTTCTAGGATATATTCGGTAAGAATTAATTTCATTTAGAATAATATCGAAAACCACGAAGCATTAAACTATAATTTTGTCCTGGTATATGAATTTTCATCAGTATACACATGTGATCCTACCGAGAGCTGAACCCAAGACCGTCAGGTCTTACACCGTATACGTACTCCTGTTACTCCTTGTGGAGGAACATAAGACACCCACCAGCAGTCTCCATCCAATCCTATCCTGGGCAATCCTTTTCAGCTCTTTCCAGTTGTTATTCATCCTTTTCTTATCTGCTTCTATTTCCTGACGTAATGTGTTCTTTAGCCTTCCTCCTTTCCGCTTCCCCTCAGGATTTCAAGAGAGGGCTCGCCTCGTGATGCAGTTTGATGATTTGCATAATGTATGTCCTATCCATTTCCATCGTTGTTTCCTGATTTCCCCTTCACCTCGAAGCTGGTTTGTTCTCTCCCACAGAAGGCTGTTGCTGGTGGTATCCGGGTGATGGATGTTGATTATCTTGTGTAGACAACTGTTTATAAATCTTTGTACCTTCTTGATGATGGTTGTAGTAGTTCTCCAGTAGAACTGCCTTGACATTCGTATTGAAGATTCTCACTTTGATATTGGTTGAAAGTTGTTTTGAGTTCCATATGTTCTTCAACTGAAGGAACGCGGCCCTTGCTTTGCCAATCTTTGCCTTTATGTCTGCGTCGGATCCTCCTTGTTCATCGATTATGCTTCTCAAGTACGTGAAGGATTTTATATCTTCCATAGTTTCGCCATCAAGTGTGATTGGATTGGTGTTCTCCGTTACACCTTATAATTAACCATTAAAATGAATTTACTGAAAAGAATAGTAACTATTCATGATATATTTGGATGTATGAATTTTGATATCAGAAAAATAGTCTTCAAACAATTGAACTTATTAAACCTACTACTTAACATAATTGAAAACAGATCATACTTACTTTTCAAAAAGATAGTCGTTTTATGCAAAAATTAACCCGTTTTAATTCAATCTAAGAAAATACTATAAACCCTTGAATTTAGATCCAAGTTAGTAATTCCATTATAAAATTGATGATGAATGTATATGTGTATGTATATACTCAGCTTTTATATAAATGAATTAATCCATAAGCATTTACTATCCTCCCTCCTCTTCCTAACTACCATTTTTAACTGTCTCATTTTTTTTCCAAAATTGTTTTAAAAAAATCTGATTGGATGATTTTATTCGGGTTTTAGTCTGTTTTTTTTCCACCCTTAGTTTATGATGATTTTGCTAATTGGATTAAACTGATCATTTATTTATTTTCAGAAGGAGTTTTGTGGAAATTTTAGTAATTTCAATCCCATACTACGATGAAATGGCCGTCTAGTGCTTCCAGGTTTTCCATAGTGGTCTAGCTTCAATTGACTCATGATTTCAACCACTGAATTTACTAAAATCCTCACAAAATCCCTTCTTATAATAATCGTCTGCTCACTAGTGACTGAATTCAAGAAATATATCCTGCAGTTCTAGTGAGAAGCAGTGACCGGTGGAGTTCAACCAGTTCTGTTGTGAGATATCAGCTCATTGAAGACAAAGGTGTACGGTGGCGAAATTTCGTGGATTAGTTGATGTTAGATATTAACACCATTGGATGTCGGCCAGCTCAGTGGTCTAATGATTAAGCGTTCGCGCGCGAGACTGATAGGTACTGGGTTGGAATCTCGCGGGTGGTGGATCGTGGGCGCGCACTGTTGAGGATTCCCACAATAGGACGAAACGGCTGTCCATTGCTTCCACGTTTTCCATTATGATCTAGCTTCAATTGACTCATGATTTCAAATATTGAAATTTATTTATTTTGTTGTAATCGATGGATAATAAATTGGTAGTAAGTTTAAGAGTTCTGTTGAGATGCTATGAGCAATCTAGTTTAGTCATATCAGGAGTTGGGCAATCATTGTTTACTAACTGAATTAGATAATGGTTGCGCAATATTTTGAATTAATTGAAGCTAGAAATGTAAACCATTGGACACTGGCTCATTGGTCAAACAGTTGAATAATTGTTGCGAGATTAAAAGTCCTTTTTTGTGTATGATTTGATTTGTCCCACAGATATAAAAACTAAAATCTGTAAATGCGATACTGGCGATCCTAGAGTTTATGGGAAAGCTATAGTCAGAACAAGGACAGCTTGGCTTTGAACTTTATCAGTTTCTAAACGTAAAAACAATTAGATTAGTACAATAATTAAAGGAATTATAGTCATTAAGTGGAACACACAAACATAACGACCAGTATTACGTGTCTTATCGAAATGAATAAAAATTGAGTGACACTAATATAATAAGATAGTAATATCCTTCAATTGACAGGTCACATGCAACAAGGATAATCTACAGACACATCAGATCAGATTGACATTGTGGGCGCTTAAGCAATCATTTGATTGGTTAATTATGGACATAACTAACGGTTTGATCCCCTGAGAAATCACGAGTGACCATTGTTAAGGAGTCCCATCCTGGTGCGAAATAATCATTCTGTTCTTCTGGATTTTCAGTAGTCGTTTAACCAAAGCAAATTCGAGATTTAAACTATGAAGGCGTAGATAAGCATTTAAAAATGTCATTAAACCTGGAAAATAGTAAGTTTTTTGGTATTTTACGTCTGTTGACTTTCAATGAAAGACTGCAAATTTCTCCAAACAGTAAATTGTATTCTCATACAAAATTCAAAGATAGAAATAATTTATATTTGCTGATCAATGAATATTGAATAGTGTCATTCTTGTCCTGTCCTCAGTGTTGATCGGATTCTATCGATTAAGTTGGAATGTTCATTCCAGTTTGAGTAACTTGACATCGTATGTACAATGTTGTCATGTTGGGTGCTGGAATATAGTCGGCAAGAAATCCTGAACCTAGAGTTCTATCAGGACTCAGTGATAAACAAATGCAAATGCATCAGTCTAAAAGAACACAAACCCAGGTTTGAATCCTACATGGAGCATCAGTCCCCTCAAAATTGCAGGTAAAATAAAATATAGATTCAAGGTTTCCTATCGACTACCTTCGACCACCCAACATTAATTCGGATGGTTTCATAGAGACTTCATGTTATCTGTTGGTGATTTTCACGACGGATAGAAATTGCACGAATAACTAGTAAAGTTCGGGTTTTTAAGTACCGGAAAGCTGTTTCACTGCAGCTTAAGATTATCTCGGTGTGTACACACACGAGATCCAATCCAGGATTTAAATATACAAAAAGCAAGAACTACACAATCAAACCACTTCCAGAGTCGTTTTACGAAACAGATCGATTCTTATTCAATTCCCTTAATTAATTATTGACTTGTTTCCAGTTTGATTAAATCCCCAAATCACAGCTTTTTAATATGACATTGAATTCTGTTATTTTCCAAATCGACAAAAGTCTCAACATGTATAGTGTTGAGTTTTAACCTTCCAACCCTAAACCCCAAGACTAGGATGATGCCGGTCTGTGGTGAATTATGTCACCACTTGAGCTACAACAATTATTTAACTGATATCACTTTGTCGTTGAAGATAACCCTTACAATAAAAGTTCTACTAATACTAAGAAAAAATATAATTCTGGCGTAGCTGCATTCTCTGAGGTGAATGATTTGGTATTTAACCTTTAAATGTATTTAGCTCCACCTATAATCCCTGGTCGGTGGCCTATGCTGCACGAGGGATAACAGGCACAAGTATGTAAGGTTTTATTATATTTCTAACAATATCACCAACAGCACAATCTCTCAATAGAAGTGAGAAGACTAGAATTTAT